TGTGTGTGTGTGTATTTGAAAATTTCAATCATTAATATCTTCTACGAACAAACATTTGATCGGAGGATTCGGAGGACAATGGTATCCTCAACCCACCAGAGTTTAAGTCCAAGACTTAAAACTGCTGCTCGCATTATTCCTGGATTAATAGACATTTCGATGATGTGTGTTTAATGGGAGGAGACGCTCCCGTCGACTATAAAGGCATATGTGGCGACTTCATCAATCTCAAGATGATGTGCCGGCTCAGTCTCTCGAGGTGTTCATAGGATGAGTATATGCGTATGTATGAGCGTCTGTATTGTGCTAAAAACGATTCTTATCTTCTTAACTATGACTTAGTTTTGAATTTTACATGTTTGAACTCCTAACATCAAGATGTTTAGAACAAGATTAATCTTGGATAATTTACAAACATGTTTGAATTTCAATCTTTCAATCCACTTGTTCACTCATCTATTTTAGTGTGTGAAATTGATTTTTTAAATTTCAAGAATCAACACATGTTCTAGTGAAATATGTTATTGAAATGAGTGACATCATTTTTTTGAAATTAGTGAAACTAGGTTTTAAAACGAGTGAATCTTTTTTGAATGAGTGAAATTGGTGCTTGAAATGAGTGAAATCGTTTTTAAAGGAGTGGAAATCTTTTTCTTTGAGTGAAACGGTGTTTAAAATTAAATGAAATCATTTGATTAAGTGATATTTATTTTTTTGGAATTCAGTGTTCTCTTATACGAGTGAAATCATAAAACTGTGAAACATGTGTTTCTTTTACTCTTTTCAAAAAAGTTGATTTCATTCATATGAAAGAAAATGATTTTCTTGAATATGTGGAATGGGTTGTTTCAAATATTTAAACTAATTATAGATGTTTTTGTCTCCAATCTGGTTTTAAAAACGTGTTCATTTTCAACCCTTATCAGCTGTGGTACCAAAGAAAGAATGATCATGCACTATTGATTAAATTTGCCACCTAGAGAGTATTTTAAAAATATTTAACTGGTAAAACAACAACATATTCAGATTCTACATACTTTTCTAATCAATTTACGCGTATAACACGTTAAAAATTAGAGTTAGGGTTTAGAAGATATAAACTTTTTAAGTAAACATTTGAACTATTCATTAAGATTGCACCCTAAATAACATCTTAATAATGTTTAACATGTAACATCGTCATATTCAGATTATACACATTTTCTAATCAATTTCCATATATAACATGTCAAAATTGATGTTAGGGTTTAAAATCTATGAAAAATATGTTAAAAAGCTTATTAATCTGCAAAAAACATTATTTTTTGGATAGAATACATGTATTAACCAAAACATCGGGGTGGGGCAGGGATTCTGCAAAAACAAAAAAGTTTTATGGAATCATTTAAAACAATACTACCAATTGATTAACCGAAATATCAAGGTGTTCTCTACCAAAAGGCGAACCGTTTTTTAGTCTCACTTACAAAAGGACCACAAGTTGATTTCAAAAACTGTAGGACGTTTTCTGTAAGAATCATGATGGACAGGTAGAAATAATATTTCCTTTATTAGTAGGTATAGATTGATTGATCTGGCATGTGTAGTAGATTCGCTCGCCTCCTATACGGCGCTTGGACCGCTGCTTCGACGGCGCTTGGACAGCTGCTTGGACGCCCCTATGTCTCGCTTCTAGCGAGACCTAAGGAACGATCGCTGAAGTGGAGAGCAAGATGGACCGGCCAGACACGTGGGATGCCACAACCTTGTTTTTTCCCATCTTTTAGGTTTTTTGTTATCTTTTTTACTTTATTTTTATGTTTTAAATTATTTTAAAATATATATTGCAGAAAACACTACAAAAAACATTTGAAAAAATGTTCACCAAGCATTTAAAAAGGCTAAATGCATATAGAGAAAATGTTTATTACGTATACGGAAAATGTACAGAAAATGTATACAAAAAATAATGTGTATGAAAAAATTGATCACGTAAAAAATGATAATCGACCATTTGAAAAAATGTTGAACATGTATTTGAATTTTTTTAATCAAGCATTTGAAAAATGTTAAATGTGTATAGAAAAAATGTTGATCATGTATTAACAAATGATGAAAAAATTGATCATGCATGCAGAAATGTTAATCAAGCATTTGAACAAATGTTGAACTAGTATTTCAAGAATGTTAATCAGGCATTTGAAAAATATTAAATGTGTATAGAAACAATATTTGCCATGTATTAAAAATGTTAATCTTTATTTAAAAATGTTAATCAAGCATTCTAAAAATATATAGAAAAAATGTTGACTATGTGTTAAAGAAATGTTAATCTTGTATTTGGAAAGTATTAACACATAGTCAACACTTTTGAACAAATGTTGATGATGTATTTTTGAACATTTGCAAAATATGTAAACAAATGTTGATCATGTATTAAAATTGTTCAATTTATATCGGAAAAGTGTTAAACTTGTAATAGAAAAATGATCTTGACATATAAGAAAATGTAGAGTCAAAACTAAAAGAAACAAAGAATGATAAAAAAAGTATGGAAACCAATAAAAACTATGAAAGAAACAATGAAAAAACAAAATGAAAAACTAAGGCAAAAAAAAAACTAAAAAACCCAGAGAAAATTGAATTAAACATAAAAAATAAATAAGAGAAAAAACAGTGAAAACAGTGAAAACAAAGAAAGAAATTAAGGATGCAAAACAAAAATACAAAACCGGCTCTTGTACCCTCAACTATGTCGCGCCCTAGTAGTTTACACGAAGTACATGCTAGCCTAGTAGCTAGCAATGTTGCCTGTCAGCCAAGCGGCTCGGGATCGAACCCTAGTTTCTCCCATTTTCCTCTCCCTTTCTTTTGAACGGGCGTTAAGGGCCGGCCTAGTAGCTACAACACGAGACCATTCAATTTAGCAAGACAAACTCTATCTCACTTAGGTCGCTCGATCCAGCTCGCTGGTTGACCTTTGACCATGGCCATTCAACACCATTGACCGTTGACCATGGCCATTCACCATTAACCAGGTTATTAACTAGTTCACAAAAATTCGAAAATATGAAAAAATGTTTACAAAATTGAAAAATATTCATTAGTTTGAAAAAAATCATGAATTTGAAAATACTTTGTGGATTTAAAAATACTTCATGAGTTCATGAATTTTAAAAAGTTCACTACTTTCAAAAATTTCACATTTTTTTAAAAACTTTGCGAATCTGAGAAATAGTTCACGAATTTGAAAGGAGTTCACAATTTTTAAAATATTCATGAATTTTAAAAGAATGCAAAAAAACCTGAAAAAAGTTCACAAATTCAAAAAATGCTCCTAAATTGAAAAAAAGTTCACATATTCTCCCATTTTCTTTTCCCTTTCTTTTAAACGAGCGCTAAGGGACGGCCCAGTAGCTTCCACACGGGGCCATTCACTTTAGCAAGATAGAACTCTATCTCGCTTAGGTCGCTCGATCTAGCTCGCTGGTAGACCGTTGACCATGGCCATTCACCACCATTGACCGTTTACCATGGCCATTCGCCATTAACCAGGTTCTTAACTAGTTCACGAAAATTCATAAATATGAAAAAATGTTTACAAAATTTAAAAATATTCATTAGTTTGATATAAAATCATGAACTTGAAAATATTTGTGGGTTTAAAAAAACTTCATGAGTTCATGAATTTGAAAAAAAAATCACTACTTTGAAAAATATCACAATTTTAAAAAAAACTACGCGAATCTGAAAAATAGTTCATGAATTTGAAAAGAGTTCACAAATTTGAAAAGATTCATGAATTTTAAAGGAATTCAGAAAACCTGAAAAGTTCACAAATTTAAAAAAATGCTCCTAAATTGAAAAATTCACATATTTAAAAATATTCAAGTATGAAAAATCATGATTATGCAAACAAAATCCATGATTTTGCAAAATAAAATCACAAATTTGAAAAAAAAATCACTTTTTTGAAAAGTCCACCAATGTAGAAAAATTCATGGATTTGAACAAAAGTTCATCAATGTGAAATCATGCATTTGAAAATAGTACA